TAATAAAAGTAATTCAAACAACTAAACTTTACTTATTCAATAATTGTGATAAATTTATATGTATCAATGAAAATTATGTTTACAATTAAATCAAAAACGTTTTAAGCTTATCCAAAAATTCTAAAATGTTATTGTCTTAAATATTAATTTAATAATAATTTTAATCACAAAACTCAGTAGATTTTTTAATAAATAATAGAAATGGCGGATTTTGAAGTTATTCAATTCCATACAAGTTACAATTAAAGATATAATATAATATGGTATAATTATTTAGCGTGTAGCATTTGAATATACATTTGTGAAGAAGAGAAGCATGTGTTTAAGACTTCTACGACGGACCTTAACTAATGCAGTAATATGCAAATTATACGAGTAACATGCACGAAGTAATTCGAAGAAAACGAGTAATATCAGTGACTTTACATTCAAAGCCAAATTATCGGCAATCACGCTGCCGAGTTTGAAGGCCTTTCTTGAAAACTTAATAGAATACTGAAAATTTATAATTATATACATATTAGATTATGGGTGTCCAACTTTTTAACTTACCTTTTCCACAAAATGGAAAAAGATGAGTTGTTTTAGGCCACATATAAAATATGTTAAATAATAAACAAAAGAAATGTATAATTTATTTTGATGGGCCGCATGCGGCCCGCGGGCTATTGATTTAATAAACCTGTAATAAACGTTGTGTATTTCTACATAATATTTACATACAATACAATAATATCCATTAATGAAGTATTAAAAACGTAATAAACTCAATTAATAGTCATAATTCAGAACTAATTACAAAATATTTCAAGATTTCTAAAGCAAAGCCATTTTTCAATATTTTACTTGTAATTATATTTATAATTGAAGCCCAAATATTTTAATAAACACTTCTAAAAGACAAATAAATCCACATTAAGATTGTCTTCAACCCTAGACACCAGTTAAGTAGATTCTAATTTAAATATTATCTAATTCAACTATTGTTCTTGGGCCCCAAAAGTCTCGTTGGTCCCCTAAAAACCTCGTGGGCTCTAAACACTGTACTAATATATAAGACTAATACTTTCTAAAACAAAGCCATTATTCAATATTTTACTTGTAATTATATTTATAATTGAAGCCTAAACATATTACATAAACACTTCTAAAAGACAAATAAAGCCACATTAAGATTGTCTTCAACCCTAGACCCCAGTTAAGTAGATTCTAATTTAAATATTATTTAATTCAACTATAGTTCGTGGGCCCCAAAAGTCTCGTGGGTCCAATTAAAACCTCGTTGGCTCTAAGCATATAACTACTACTCTAAATAACAATATTGAAAATTAATTTTAAAACTTAAAAACTATTATATTTCCTTTTCATCTTACAAACTTTTTTTTCAATGATTCTTTTTTTTTGCATCGGCTCGTTTGTGAGAGCAATTTGTCGAGTTTCATTAAGTTTTAATACCTTATATTCCCAACGAGATGTTACGGCGATCTCGTTTTGCGGTTTCAAAACTATTTGCATGGAATGAGTTCAGTTCGGCCTTGTACGAGCTGCTCAAACTGGATGGCAGAATAAATGGGAAAACTGTTGTTTTGCTCTTCCTTCTTCTCTCTCTCCCATCATCATCATCATCATCATCTCTAGCGAAAGAGCATATGCTGCCGTATTAGAATCGAAACAACAACAACAAATAACCAAAAAAAAACGAATCGCAGGAAACAAATGCTACAAATCTCCAATTTTCGTTCTTCTGTTACCGAAGATTACGATTAATTACAGCTCTCGTTTACCGAATCAATAAGGCTAATTGATTTTCGTTTGTATTATTAATATTTTTTTATGCTTTTTAATTGATGCCGCTTGATTGGAGTTTCACCTGGGTCTTATAGAAACGGGAACGGTGTTTGCATTGTAATTAAAAAAGTAGTACACGTTTTTTTTTATTTCGTATTTTCGATTGCGGACGGCGACGACGAATCGAAGAATTTAGTGTTTCCGTCGCTGTCTTCGATTGTGTTCCTAAAAATGAACAGTTAGCGTGAGGGTTTTATTGGTTTATTGATTATAAAATAAATGTTCATCGAGTCCGATTGTTACGCTCCAGGTTTTTTCATTCATTATACGAAGATAAAGTAAAAAGAGAAGAGCGGATTCTCGAAAAGAGAGTAAGTAACATGATGTATTATGTACGTGAGGACAATTGAAACTGTTCTGAATACTTCCAGCAAACGAAATGTTTAAACAATAATGGAAACGCGCGCTTGCTTTTATTTCTTTATTTTATTTTTAACGTTTTATTTGCGTTCGAACCGTAAATTAAAATTACGGGATAAATGAACGTATTTCTTTGGCAAATTTCTGAACTCAGTTTACCTCCGAAATTGATCTCTCGAGATTTGTTAACACGACTAGTTGTTCTTGTTTGATGGACAGTTCTAGTTATCTCTGTATCTGTTCCACAGGAAACAAGATACAGACCAACAAATTGTTGATGTGAAAGGCCGAACGTAACAATACAAGAACCTCTTTAACATTTCCTTTACGAAATTGGTACAATTACTTAAGCAAACAAAAAAATATAATATACTTACAACTGTATTTTGCTCAAACATTTTTTTTTGTACTCATATTTAATCAGAAATAATTCAATTGAACAAATCTTATAACTTTATTCATAACAATTGATGAATTATTAGTTTTATAATAATATCCACATTTCTTCAAAGAAGGAGAATTAAAGTAATACCTCGCATAGTCCGGATTCCGCCAATATCCAGGACTGTTTAAAACCGGACAAATCGAGGAAATAAATGCATACAAACAACCAATAAAAAGTATAAAAGGAGTAGAATATTTTGTGTAATATTTTTTAGAATTAATTTTCAAACCGTACTAAAAATCCGGACTGATTGAAGCCTATTCAAAGTATATAAATATGATTTATATATTTAATAGCATAATATTTTTTTTGTATGTTTCCTATATAATTTCATAATTAACTTTTAATGACAAAAATATATTTAAATTTTATATTTTTACATTATTATCCACATTTATTAGAAAGTTTGTCATTAATTAATGAAATAAATCAACACTAAAAGTCTCCCATTTGAGTAATAGGAATTGTACGCATTGCTTAACTGTACTATAAACAACAACATTCATTTAAAATAATACAATTGACATTCAATGTTCTTCATATGTTTGATTATATAGCAATACCTCGAATAGTGCGACTAATCTGTTTCGCCTATATTACGCACTATTGGAAACCGGACTAATCGAAGACTTTAAAAAGCATTACAAGAAACTTGACAAGATGACAAAAACCGATCATTTAGAATTTAGTTTGTTTTTAAATTTTCAAACCGTACTGTAGTGAATCAGCACTAATCAAAACCGCACTATGCGAGATATTTATGCATTTACAAAAGTATAAGTTTTGCTACTCTAGTTTAAAACAATAATTAAATCACTTTAAACCAATCCTATAATATAAATTTTAAAGAAAATAAGTAAATTCGAATCAATAAAAGTTTGTAAAATAATTATAACAATTAACATTAATTTGAATTTAATACTTCTATAATTCTATATATGTTTGGTAAGAGATTTATTTGTCCAAATTGACTCTTAAAATCGTCATAAAACAACATAATTGGAAATGTTCAATAGATAATCAATGTTTCAATAATTCATAAAATGTTTCTACATTTGATTACTACAACAACAATTACATGACTTGTACAAAATTTCATAAATTATTCCAATTAGATAATCATTTTAATATTAAAATTTAGCACGGTATTATGAATAATTACGTTACCAAAAAAAAAAATAATAATTGCAAATGATCATGTAACTAATATGGCTTGAAAATAATTGAGTCAGTTCGAAACAGAGAGAGAGAGAGAGAGAAAAAAAATATTACTTGGATGATTTAGCCGAATGGAATACAGTAATTGAAAATAAAGCGTCACGCTTTTTTCGGTCTTAATTTAATTATTATCCGAGCCAAGAATGGAGATGTTAAAAGATGTTGGAAGGTTCAATGTTACATCTTAGAAGAAAAAAATGAAAAAAGGAAGCAAGAAAACGAGTGGTGAGATCGTAATAAGAGCAAGTTTAAGGGAGTTATCTTGAATGTTAAATCTTCAGTCTATTATTACTGGAACCATACACTTTTGTTGTTGTTAAACAGAAAAATATAGAATTAGTTTGTACTTACTTTTATTTTGTTTATTTCATATAAATTACAAACATTACATTTTTGCTAATTAACTCATGTTAGTTTTTCTATTTTTTAATTACTTTTTTTGTAATTTCTCAAAAATTGCAATTTGATCAATAGAAATTTCATTTAATATAAAATTAGATGATCCAGAATTACAGGAATTATACACATTTTATATTTTTTATTTCTTTATTTTATATAAATTACAATTTGTAAATTCTATTTAAAGTGTAATTAAATATTCTATTATTATTGGAACTATACACATAAATTTGTCAATTTTTCAGTTTTTATTTTTTTAATGTAAAAACGTCAAATTTCTTAATTGTTACATATTTCAAATTAATTGCAATTTAATCCATAGACATGATTATTCATATTTCATTTGTTATTTTATAATTATTAGAATTTTACACATTTCTTGTTTCATGAATTTGTCAATTTATCATAATTTTTTATAATGTATTATAATAAATTACAATTGAATCTATAGAAATGATTCATAAAATGTAATTATATTTTCTATAATTATGAATGTATACACATTTCTTGAAGCAAAATCAAAAGGAGAAATAACAAATTATTAAAAATATTATAAATGAAATTTCTCAATTTTTCTAAATTTTCTATAAAAATCAATTTAATTAATAGAAAATCAATTTGTAAGAACTTTGAATGAACTATAGAAATAAATATTGTAAGGGTTTTTCAAATATATTCGTTGTTTGCATTAGTATGAACTGCATTCGTGGATGTTGCTTCTGGTTTGAGTATGCAAATAGCATGCAATATACCTACGGATTCCGAGGCGAGAAGTATGTGGATGTGCGAGCCCGGAGGATTGTGCGTGGTGTGTTGTACTTGATCTTGACACTAAGAAGCCTTGCTCTTGGCACTCGAGAATCCTCTCCTCGCGCGCGCTTCCCAAAGAAGAGCAAGAAGTAGACGAAGACACGAAGAGGAGGAGGAGGTATAAAGACCACAGCCAGGACCTGTTATAAAGGAGTCGCGAGGAATCTTCGCAACAAGTGTGAATCTCTCCTCAGATCTCAAACATTACACAATTTTAGTACATACACATACACAAAAAAAAGCAATTTTAAAAGAAATAAAAGTATTAAAAAGTCGTGCAATACCAGAAGAAATTTATACGTAAGTTATTTATATTTCTTTAATTTAGGAATTTCAGAAGTATTCAAATATTAATTGTAAATATTAATAAAAATATTTTCAACATGAAATTTAGCTTACAAAGAAATTATTTTATTAATAATTTAAAAATTTAATTATTTTTCTGTAATTTTTTTCATTTTGATTAATTCAAAGATTTGTTGAAGAATTAGAAAAAAAATATTTACTTTATTTTTTCATGAAATATAAAACTGTACTATAGTGAATCAGCACTAATCAAAACCGCACTATTCGAGGTATTGCTGTATTTACAAAAGTCCAGGTATAAGTTTTGCTACTCTAGATTTTTTCCATTTTGATTAATTCAAAAATTTGTTGAAATTTCAAGATTTGTTGAATAATTAGAAAAAAATATTTACTTTATTTTTTCATGAAATACAAAACTGTACTATAGTGAATCAGCACTAATCAAAACCGCACTATTCGAGGTATTGTTGTATTTATAAAAGTCCAGGTACAAGTTTTGCTACCCTAGATTTTTTCCATTTTTATTAATTCAAAGATATGTTGAAATTTCAAGATTTGTGAAATAATATGATTATTCATCTTTATGTTTTAAATAAATTCTCATAACTGAAACAATACTAAATTATAATAATTTTAAATATGAATAAGCTATGATTAAATGTTATGTTGTGTTAAAAAAAATAAGAGTTATTTCTGTTAATTACTGCTTTTGCATGAATGCATTTGATCCTTGTTTTCTTATGGTAGACCGGAGTTCACAGACAAGGTAATAAAATGACTATGAATTTGAGTTACGGCTAATAATTTGATTATTACCAGCTTCGGAATGTCGTTTACTTACAAACAGATTTTTTCTTGGTGAAAACATGTAATTAATTACAAAAGGAAAAAATCTTCATAATTATCAAACTAAACTGAAGAAATAAATATGAAAACGATTCATATTAATATTTCACCTATACAATTGCTTAACTATCAGTTTTTGTGATATAAACTTTATCTAATTGGATTAAAAATTTCATAATTAAGCAAGTCTCCTTTTGTGCGGTTTCTTTGAATCAAATATGTCGGAACGGATTATACGTACTACCTCACATAGTGCGTATAATCTGTTCTGTTGCGGTATTATTGACAATGACTAGATTAATATTTACAAAATACAGAATGTAAATTTTTTGTTAGCGTAAGTTTTTTTTTTATTATATTTGTTTAAAATAGAAATAACAGTAAGCAATGACTTCTTCAATATTTCCAGTTCGGCTACTTCTAATTATTGAGCACGCCCGAAATACGCAAATATTGATGTTGGACATTAACAAACATAACAGAACAAAAAAATCAACAAAAGTTTCACCGAGTTTTACGGTATTGGCTCTATAGTAAACAGACGCTAATAAGATGAATTCCGATTGTATTTACATAAGTTTACTAGTTATCCTACTTTAAATGCACAAATTATTATTGATTTATCAATAATTCGTAATTAAAGCAAATCCATTTTGACAAATGCGACGTGGAAAATGCAATAATTGCAATGAAAGTTCATTAGCATATTGTAATTAAATATGGTGAACAGGAAATTAGGTCTATGTTTCAATTAAATCGATAAGTCGATGAGTTTCACTCAGTTTTAAACGATTTACGTTTAATGAATTATATCCTCGATAATCCGGTAATTTCAATTCCAGTAAACAAATAAATCACGAGTGCTAATAAATTTAACCGTAATTGTACGAAATAATTATAGCGAAATCAGATTTATCTTTAGATTTACCCATCCAATTGCTTAACTATCAGTTTCGACAATCAATTCAATTTAAATTTCACATTTGATCTGAAATATCAAAGTCTCTCAATCATCAATCCAAAGAACACAATTGCTTAACTATCTTCTAATTGGATATTGGTGTATTTTAATAATATAACATTTGTCCTGAGATCTCAAAGATTATAAATCACCCATCCAAATAACATAAGTTGCTTAACTTTCTTAAGTTAAACAGTTTTTCGACGATATAAACGTTACATTATGATTGTATTATGTAAAAAAAAAATACTTTTAACGGTTTACACCGTTCCTCTCTCCATTTTTTTTATGTAACTATTTCTCTTGACTTCCGTTTAATAGATTCTGAATAGATCGACGATTCAGATAAGGCTCATTCACTCGAAATGCCACGGCTCCTTTGATAGCACCTCGAAACCGTTCCACGGATGCGGCTCTCCTCTATTTCTCGTATAAAGTTGCATGTAATTTTCCGATCTGCTTTATTTCTTCTGCCATTAAAATCATTAAAATCCGCGTCGACGAGGAAGAGCAGAAGAGGGATTTACAAAAAAAAAATAGTAGAACGTAATTACAGGAGATGCCACTACCATGAGAGGAAGGCAAAAAACGGCATGGACAGAGCCCGGTCTTCTTCATTAGTTTTAAGTGTATAATAATAATAACAAAAAAAAAATGAAGCAGTGACGAAGCAGAAAGAGGATGACGTTTTTTTTAATGTCCGCGTTTCCTATACGATTTTAACGGCCCACCACTACAAATAATAATGCACGACGTTGCGCAACAAAGTTAATGCATCGAACGATGATAGAAAACTTACCGTTTTTGTAAGCGAAAATCAGTTTCAATTATTTCGTTTAATTCTATTCATTCTCTTATTACCAATTGTAATACTCGATGGAAATCTGCTTGTTGCTGTTGTTATTCCTATTCTTCGTGCGTTACCAAATCTACAGTTAATAATTAAGGTTTTTTTTTTGGATCAATGACCCTAGGTGAGAAATTTTAATTCGAACCGGCGGATTAACGCGTAATTGCATAACATCTCTCTCACGCCAAGTCCAAGGTTATCATCACTTCAATGCGTGTGGTATACATTCATTGAGTATTGCTTCATTAATGAATTCGTCAGGTTCAAATAACCTTCACTTATATTTCAAAATATTTCTATTATGTCTTGTTCTTAATCATTTTTTTCTCTTAATTTTTCAGATTATGTCGCGGGTTTTGCTTCTCGTGGCGATTTCCGCTTTTGCGGTTGCCGTTTCCGGTTTCGGAAGCAGCGAGGATAAGTTTGTGAAGAAGTATGCTATGATGAAGATTTACGAAAGCTGCTTCGGAGCTGATGTTGTTAAGCAGATCAGGAAGGAAATGAAAGCTGCTTGCGCGAAATGCGCCTCCTACGAAGCTCCACCACCACCGAGGACCACGACTCCTCCACCTTTTGAAGCTGAGAAAGACGTGATCACCGATCCTGAAAACACAGTCTACGCCAACCAACAAACCTTCGATCCTGCGAAGCTGCATCAAGCAATTTTATCTTTCAGACCCGTAAGAACTACATTAACAATTCCATCAGTTAGCTCTAATTTTCAAATTTGCAGAATCCTTTCACGGTGCCGCAGGTCAGACCGTATCCTCACAACTTCTACGGTGGATATCAAGGAAATCCGCAATTTGCTGCACCACAAATGTACTATCAGCAACCATCGCCATTCTCAAATCCCTTCGCTTATCCCCTTTTCGCCCAACAATACTTAGGTGGAAATCGCGTTTCTGTAAGTAAAATCTACAATTTGTGGGACAGCAAAAACTAATTGTATAAATTGAACAGCGCGATATGGATTTGAGGAGTCAATTGGAGGCGATTACATCACGCATGAGCGGTCGCGTCAGGAACGTCACTTGCGTGATGCAGGAATTGGGTTACCTGGATGAGAGCTTCGAGCCCAACTTCGAGAAGATCAGTGAAAGAATCGGAAATTTACCAGTTGGAGTCGAGCTCAAGGAAGATATCCAGGAAGGAGTTTCATTCTGCAAACAATTCTCGGTAATATCTCTGAATTAACTTTGGTTACATCGTTTATAACTCTAAATTTGATTGCTGCAGCAATGCGTTCCTGAGGTGAAGAAAGGATCTCCGTTGTCGCGTGAACTCATGCGACCTCTGCTGTTCTTCAAGTGCTACAAGCACAAGAAGTTGGAAGCTTGCATCATGAAGGACGTGAGGGAGAAGTTTTCTGGAGATGCGGACGTCGACGAGGATGATGATGTGGACAACGTCGAGTTCAGGAGGACAGGGAAAGCAGCCAAAGTACAAGGAAGCAACGCGGAAATCGATTATTTGGCCAGCTCCATGTATGATTTCCTTTACGGCAGCGAAAACAATTTAGACTTAGACAACTTATTTTAAGATATCACTGACCATTCTTTATTTATTTCCTTAAATTATTAAAAAAAAAAAACAAACATACACTTTGAATTTTGGCAACGAAAAATAGTAACAGAAAACGTGTATTTTTCATTGCCGAAATTTGAACATCGATATATATATATATAGTTTACATTTTCTTTTTGTATTATCTACTTAAACAAAATACATTTAAGATAAATAGTTATTGTCACGATTATTGTCGATTTCTCTTGTATTTATCACATTTAATTACTTATTTCTATGAGATCCTGATCGCGCGTCACTTGGTATTGCAGCAATTTGGCGTAGCGCTTCAACAGTTTGCTCCAATAACAAGTAACGTCTTTCATCTTTAAGTTGTTCCAAACCATCTTGAATCCATTCTCGGCTATCTTCTTGGCAAGATTTTCATTCTCTAAGAAAAATTCAATCAATATTTTTAGCTCGTCACGGGAAGCGTTCGACTTGACGGGAACGTAATGAACCCATGGTTTTAGCGACGAGTAGAAGAACTCTTGCCAATCGTTGCCCACGTGGAATACAAGCGATTTGCAAAGCAACACATGTTTGAAGCGGAAACTGGCGGCAACGCCGCGGAAGTTGAACAGGAATTTATAGTTACAATGATCTTTGAATGAGATTTCAGTGGCTGGCTGCGCGTGTAAAGTATCCGCCTCGGATTTCCAAGCTTGATTCTTAGTGTACTGCGCGTCGATGAGCTCAGGGAATTCCCTTGATAATAGAACCAGAGGATCGCGTTCTGCGCTTGTCCTAGATCCTCGGAAGAAAGCCAAATTAGATTTATCCACCCATTTAGTTTCGTTCGACTTTTTCCCCAATTCATTCCTATGCTGATCCCAGCGACCTAAAACATCTTCGTGTAATAACGAATTTATTACCATTTACATTTAATCATTTACCGATTCCTCTGGGATAGAGAGAAATAGCGGGTCCGCCCTCCCAGAAGGCCCAAGCCGGATACATGATGTCATAGTAATCGGAAGTCTTACTAAAAGAAAATACAGGTCCAAAGGGACCATAGTTTTTGGCAATCTGAGGCCAATCTCGAGTGTTTATTATCAAATCCATGTCAGGAAGCTTAGGTAAAAGTTGTAAGAGGAAATGCTCTATTCCGATACATCTCGCTGGAAACATACAACTCTTCTCTCGGTATAGGCGGTTATTGATGATTTGATACTTCGTACCCCTATAGTAAAAAAAAATGCATAATTTGAAGGGTATATTACATATTAATCGTGAATTTACTTGGATTTAACATTCTGTATCATAGACTTGGAAATACCAGCTTTGAAGCGTTTCAAATCGGCGGAAATAACACCGGCATGACAATTGCATTTCGTCTCATCGCAATTCTCGTACTCCTCTTGAGCTTTCTTGATGGCATTTTCATATTGTGCATATTTTGTATTGATTTCTATAGATTAAAAAAAATATATTAAAATAGTGCAGAATTATATAAATGTTACAATCCAATATTGAAGTCCTATAGAAGACATGCATATATAGAAAACCATTACAATTTCAATGAAAATATTTTTTACGTTAAGGTAGACAACTCTATATACTTTGAAAAGCTGCAATTTATACAAAGATTTGTATAAAGAACTATGAGGTTTTTAGGAGTTTGTAGCAAAGATCAATGTTTGAAGTAGCTTCTGAGTAAATCAATAAAAACTTTTAACAATATTGGAAGATTACGGTTGCATATATACTACAAGAAACTGAGGTTATGTTTACCTTTGCCGTATTTGTTGTGGTGACCATTGGAGCTTTTATTGCAGACACTCCCGCCGCTCTTTGACGACGTGCACAACTCTTCCTCGCATGCACCCAAAGCGATAACAACAACAAAAACAAATGCCGGGAATACCATGGTAACCCGTAAACTCCCACCGACCCGCAAGGTGGTTTCTGGGCTGCTCCGACTGCTTGTTGATCTACAGGCAAGGTGGGGATAGAAAGGATCGATTATTTGAACAGCAGCAAAAGAAACATTCAGAAGAGGCGTGCGCAAACTGTTTGTTTTATTTCATTCGCTATTATAAACTTATCTATTGTGATGAGCATTAACGTTTGGATTGAAAATAGATAAAAGGCAATAAATAAATGGGCTGAAGGAGGCGGTCAGAAGACCTAAGCCAATCATGGGTCTGTGCGCCAACCAACTCAAGGAAACGACGAAGAGTGCAACGGAGAATGCTAGACCCATGCAACTGGCTGCTCCGATGTCCCCAGAATACACCTGCTTCAGTCTCGGCCATTTCAAACCTTAAAATATGCACATTCATTATACGAACAAAACAATACTCTGATTAGCAATTCATCTTACATAAAACCGCTAACAATCGAGCTAAGCATAAGCTTGATGCGTAGAGAGCGAACAAACCGACAGCTCGGAACTTCCAAGTTTCCAATTTGGCGTCGGAGTGTTCGGCATCGAACATTTGTTTAACCGTAAGAATCCCGTGTCTGACCAAACCCAACTGATGTTTCCTGCTGGTTTCGTATGGCACCAACGTTCCATCTTTCTGAAGAGCAATCACACTGACCTAGTTTGAGAAAACATTTTTCGCTTTACAAATCTGGTCAATCTTTACAACAACAGTTGAGCAAATAAATCATTTTTTTCTCTTTACACGATTCATTGCGCCAATTATCAACTGATGTTCCTGAAAGTTACCGGTTCTCCATTATGTCCCGCATAGTAGAACTGCACTCGGATATCCCCGACTTCAGCATTCCAAACATCATCGCAATGATAGTAGATTCCCAAATGCAATTTGATATCACGCCTTTCCGGTCTCTCGTCGCTGGTCATTTCCGCGTAATCCGTGAATTTATTCTTGATCTCAGATCCCAAATACAGTTGACCAACTCTGACCAAAGGAGAAACGTATACGTGCGTTTTCAGAGGCATCGTGGTCGGATTGTGATGTCCATGCCTAATGTAAAAGCTATTGCTATTGACAAGTTTATCCCTCCATTCAGTGAAATAGTGATATTCCGCGTCGCTCCTATCGTATTCGTCGTGTACGCTGTTAAAATTCAATCCGCTCTTTTCTTCAACCCATTGGAACATCTGCACGCGTCTCTTCAATTTAACAGCTTGGATCGAGACACCGTAATCGGGTTCGGTTAATGGTTCGTCGATCAGAAGAGGTCCAGCGATGTGAACCAACCTTCCGTCATATTCAGGCTGCAAAGGTTCATAAACATTTAACGGAATCACATTTTCATACGCCTCATCCAATGAATGCGCGTGGTGAACAGCCCGACCCTTTAGTTAAAAAAATACTCGAATTACTATTAAATACATCCCTGACATCAACGATTTTACCTCATTCCAAGCCAAAACAAACGTCCCGGCGCATAACAAACCAATACCTATAAGTGACGTAAGCCACGTCTTTTTAAATTCCTCCTGAAAACTTGATTCCATACTTGTAATTTTTGTAAATATTTGAGGGTTTTTTATAGATGACGCATGCTCTGTGGATAGTCTATCCGTCAGGGGTTCACAGGAAGCTTCGTAGCGTGCAGAGAAATTCCTAAAAAATGTGATATATGAGTCACGGCAAAATTACGTAAGTAACACAAAGATCATGCACGAATGCAGTAAAATCGAATATCATTATTAATCAATTAAATCTCACCTAAACAATTCGTGTTTTTCGGTTTCTGCACCTTCACGCCTCTATCGTCTATCGATTTCTTCTGCGCTGGTAACTAGCGCTATCTGCAACTAACTTCAGAACTGTTTCCATTCAGTTCGTCCGCACTTGTAAATAAATACAGTCAATCTATCGTTTACATTATTTTTAATTATTGTTTATTTTGAAATGCCCATTGTAAAATTTATTACTGTTATTTAAGAGTCGACATTATGAAAACCATAGGAAACAATCACTAATATATGAATTTCAAGGCCGAATCAATTTTTTGTTTTAACTAAATTATTATTTTTATTGCTGGTTGCCTACATTAATTAAATAAATTTAAAAAAAATAACAAAATAAAAAAATTGTATCTAAGCAACTAATAGTAAAGTCATGCATCATGTGTACCATAATTGTAATAGATGTTTCTATGTTAAAGGTTTTTTTTTATTTAGAAGATGCGAGCTTTGGCAGTTACGATATGGGTTTTCATCAACTTGATTTTCTTCGGGATGTGCGGTTACATGTACCTTCTGTGGTCGCAATACTGGATGTACATAGAGAAAGACCTGTATTCCAATTCGAACAATTACGAGCAACAGATTTATTATTACAACAGAGGATTTCTGATAAACGATAGTGCGCAAAGCGAGGTGAAGACCAGGACCAAGCATTCGGTGAAGGATTTGCAGAACGTGACGATAATCAAGAATAGCAGACCGAGGTTTCCGAACTTGCAGAGCGAAGATTTCGTTCTGGACACGGTCAAATATAGATGCTCGGAGGACGAGAGTACAAATGAATGTGATAATAAAGTGAAACAGTACAAAGAGAAGATTCTGAACGAACTGAAGCGCGTCTTCTTAGATGAGAGCAACGTTTTGAAGCACGCGACCGATCAGAATCCGTACAATGTGCACTATCAGGGTATTAAAGAGAACCATTTGAACAAATATAGGAACCAATTGGTGTGCGAGTTCAAGCGCATCCAGTTCACGGTGATCAGAAGATCCGATGAACCCTTCAAATCCAATTACCTAAGGGATTTGATTCCGAAGAAGAAGTTTTTGGATAATAGGCAGTACAATTCTTGCGCGGTAGTTTCGAGCGCTGGGTCTCTCACCAATTCGAATTTAGGTCAATTTATTGGTAACAAAAATACTATTCTTGCAATTTATATATTTCACTGATAATTATTGCAGATTCCCATGATCTGGTACTTAGATTCAACCATGCACCGACCGTGGGTTTCGAAAAGGACGTTGGAAGCAAGACGACTGTAAGGATATTGAACTCTCAGGTGGTTTCCAAAAGCGAGTTCAAGTTTCTCGAAGATAATTTGTACAGGAACATCACGCTCTTAGCCTGGGATCCAAGCAATTATACGTCTACCCTTGAAGACTGGTACAGTCGGCCCGAATTCAACGTGTTCACTAATTACGCCGCATATCGAAGGCAGTTCCCTAAATCCAAGTTTTTCTTGTTGAATCCTCGAATCCTGTGGCAACTGTGGGATTTTTTGCAATCGAACTCGCCTAGCCGATTACGTCGGAATCCACCGTCTTCTGGTTTCTTAGGTAGTTACATCACTCGAAGACTACATGCACTAATCCAACTATATACTTGCAGGTTTGGCAGCTCTATTACCGAGATGCGAATATGTGAATGTTTTCGAGTACATGCCTTCAACCAGGGTAACGAAAAGATGTCATTATTACGACACCAAGGATAATCCGGCTTGCACTTTCGGAGTTTGGCATCCTCTAGCCGCAGAGAAGTTACTCACATACAGTTTGAACATCGCCAACGACACGACGACGTTCGACAGAGGATTTATGACTCTGTTAGGATTCAAACGTACCAATTGTTGATTCTCTGTTTTTAAATAATACAGTATTTATTAAATGTTTTCACTTCTGCCTTCTCATTGCTAATGTCATTTAATTATTACCTACTGCACCTTAAACACACAAATATATAGTGTTTTTAGTTGTTAATATGAATGGGATCATATAGTTTTTCAAAGGTTTGTCAATTTGTTTCTAATATTTCAATTCATTATTTCAGGAAGTCAACATTGAGTATTCAATCCCAATTTAAAATTTCACTTGGATTTGCTTTGTAACTTAGAAAAATAGAAAATATGATTGAAAGAAATATGTACACACAAACAATATTACATCACATATTGATTATTTCAGCTGGACAATATTGGGTATTCAATCCGAATAAGTATCCGAGAATCGCAAATACCTATCCAAAATCCATAAGTGATTTCAAATTTCCCGCGGATCTGGACACCGTGTACTATAATGCATATAGAAACATTTTGGTGGCAATTAAAAATAATAAGGTGTACATGTACAACTTCATGACTAAAATATATATTGTTTTTAGTTGTTAATATCAATGGGATCATATAGTTTTTCAAAGGTTTGTCGATTTGTTTCTAATATTTCAATTCATTATTTCAAGAGGTCAACATTGAGTATTCAATCCAAATTTAAAATTTCCCTTGGATTTGCTTTGTAACTTAGAAAAATAGAAAATATGCTTGAAAGAAATATGTACACACAAACTAAGTTAGAAAATTATTTGATTAGAAATTTTCGCGGAATACCTAAGATCCTTTTACAGCTCAACCGGTTGATAATCAATCTAACCGCAGAGAAGATACTCATATCTTTGAAAGGATGGAGATTAGATTTTATTGTTCGTAATTGTTGGTTACGCGCAATATATTTATTGGAACAACATTAGTTTTGTTTTGTTCTGTTAATAACGGTAGAGGTTATCATATAATTACTGAACCAAACACTTCGATAGATATAAATGTTTACTTCTATATTTTACATCACCCTCTTAATTTAGTTCTTAACACTTGTTGAGTGTAACACCTTTCATAATGTTGCTCACGTTTACTCTTGTTTTGTTCACCGCTCATCATTCGTTGTCAGCACCAACAAACCAAAAAGAATTTGATAATGCAGCGGTAAATATATTTATAACAGATATAACAAAAGCTACCCTCTGTTAAATTTAAGAAAACATTGATTAAGTATGGTTACTTAGACAATAACTACAGAAATTCCGAAAACATGGAGGATGCCGTTAAGGAAGCTGTGATGAGATATCAGGAGTTTGCAGGGATAGAAATGAATGGTAATACTTTTTTTTTTATATATTATATTTTTTAGTAATTAATAATTTTAAGGCAATATTGACGATAATGTTAAGATGATGATGGCTTCACCAAGATGCGGTGTTCCGGACGTTCTCAATTATAAAGCAATAACTTCTTGGCCAAAAAATAGCCTCACTTATTCCATCAGAAGCAAATCAAATAAATTGAATTCCGGTGAAGTCAGTCACATTATCAGGTCTGCTTTCGACATTTGGACGAAGTACGTCGATTTGAAGTTCACTGAAAGTGCGAGGTATTCGGACATTAATATACATTTTTTTACTGGTGACCATGCAGATGGTTCACCGTTCGATGGACCTGGCAGTGTGTTAGGTCATGCTCTGTTTCCAGTAATGTTTTCTTTTTAAAGTTATTATTGTGGAAGATTTTGTTTATTATATAATTTCAGCCTTATGGTATTCTACATTTCGACGATGACGAGGATTGGAATAGAAGTATCCAGCTGTTTCAAGTGGCGGCACACGAGATTGGTCATGTTTTAGGATTGGATCACTCCACGGTTAAAGGATCTTTGATGTTTCCTTACTACAATCGCTTTAAAGATTTCACTCAAGATCTCCATCAAGATGATATTGATGGCATACGGTCTTTGTATGATGAGAACCAAAAGAAATGTCGTAGCGTAACGTCGATAGTTTTATTATCAGGGAAGTACACGATATTTTTCGGTGCCGAATACTACCGAAATGGAGTCATCAAGAAGATAATTGATACATGGCCAATCGCAACTAACAACATGAATAAAATGAGGATCAGTCAATATGAAGACTCAATGCTTTTCTTTCACGGATTAAATTATACTAAAATAGAGAACGGCACAACCGTGCAGAGAGTTATCAAAACGCAATTCGGGATTTCAGGACCCGTAGATGCGGTTGTCAATATTAAGGGGCGCTTATATTTCTTCAAATGTATGTTGAAAAGCTTATAAATAATTATAACATCACATATTGATTATTTCAGCTGGACAATATTGGGTATTCAATCCGAATAAGTATCCGAGAATCGCAAATACCTATCCGAAATCCATAAGTGATTTCAAATTTCCCGCGGATCTGGACACCGTGTACTATAATGAAAATAGAAACATTTTGGTGGCAATTAAAAATAATAAGGTGTACATGTACAACTTCATGACTAAATCTGTCAGTATTAGTAATCTCGCAAATATATTTTGTTTCTAAACTTGAATATCGATTTAAAGTTATAAGGAACAGAAAAAATATGTTAACACACGTTTTTAGTGAAATATTATCAAATAAATATAATAATAACATATTTTATAGTCGTATTTATTCAGAAGATGGTTTGGATTTGTTAAATATGTCAACAAAAAAAACAATTTTGATTATTTGAAACTTTTCACTTAATTCATTCATCTCGTGTCATAAATCTGAAGCTGATTACTTGTTTTCAATAAGTTAATATTATGTGCGTTTATCTGGAAGAGTCAAAGGTTAAATCTTTCAGTCTTAAAATTTTCTTCGAGATGCGTGTACAGCTCTTATTAGTTTTGTTACTAAAACTCGTTGAAAATGCACCTGTAGGTCGTCACATTTTAATGAAAGTGAGTAAAATAATAATTTACGTTAAATGTGCAAAAGAAACCACAAAAAATCGACATAGAGGTTATATTTTCAAAAATTGGTATTTCTTTCAATTTTTTTTTAGAAATATCTTAAACAATTTGGATATGATACAGATAACATGCCAATGGCTGTAAAAAACTTTCAGCAGTTTCATCATCTACAAATAAATGGTAATTAACAATAGAATCTTATGATAATTTTATACTGAAGCATTTTCATAAAATATAGGCAAAATGAATGAGGAAACGTTGAGTATGATGGATAAACCTAGATGCGGAATGCCGGATGATATATACAATATGGCTTTTCACGGTATTGTATGTGTTCTAACTAAAACATTGGTACATTATATTTTGACATTTAGGTCCGGTTCTGCAAAATAGAAACCTGTCGTACAAAGTGGAGAATTATGGGTATCTGGTGCCGTCGGAGGTGGACGAAGCGCTGAAAAAAGCGTTTGATATGTGGCAAAACTATACTGAGCTTAATTTCAAGCATTTTAAGCGGATTTACGTTATGAGGGTGAACTTCAATCGATTAAATCACGGCGATAAAAACGATTTTGACGGTCCTGGACAAATGATCGGTCATGCAACACCTCCGGTTAACAACGCCCAAAGCGATATACATTTTGATCTGGATGAGGATTGGACTTGGCGCGGTGATAACGGCATCAACTTCTTCCAAACTGCAGTTCACGAGTTAGGCCACGCATTAGGCTTAAGCCATATCAACGAGACGGATTCGGTCATGTATCCTTACTACACTTACAAAGAGAACTACAGTTTGACTAAATCTGATATAGCGAGAATTCAATATTTGTATGGGGTACGAGATAGAAGCATTGATAATCAGGTTGTGAATCCTACGTGCATAATACTGAACTACAACACTATTTTCGTGTACGAAAACTTGACGTACGTATTTCGCGGAAAATATTATTGGGCCTTCAACGAGGAAGGATATAGGATCGAGGAAATGAGACTGATAAACGAGAAGTGGCCCTTTTTACCATCGAATATCGATGCGGCTTACGTGACGGATTCGAATAAGGTGATCTTTTTCAAGGGATTGCAGTACTGGAAGTATTATAAATCGAGATTGTTAAAAAACTACCCGAAACTCAACTACCACGGTTACAGTGGAGCTCCAGAACGCATCGACGCTGCTGTGAAGTGGAATAACACTCTACTCTTATTCAAAGGTAAGCGAGGAAATGCTTAACACTTCTTGCAATTCATTAACCTTGTTGCAGACACTGAAATCTGGAGCTATGAACCGGGAAAGGGCAGCACATCCATTGGAAAAGTAAATAATATTGTAAACGCAGCCATCGTCAAGGGCAACGACCTAATACTGTTTGGTCACAGAATCTTCTCGAGATGCACTTCCATCAATACAAATTGCATACGGGAAAATATCTCAGCTTATTTCAAGTGCAATATCAGAAATACAACAGCTGTAGCGTAAGGAATGATTAAACCTATGCATCAAGAGCATTTATTCAATTAAGATTTAGAAAAAAAATACTTTTGTTAACTTTTGTTTTGCTCTTTTGTAGTTCTCATGTCATCGAAAGCGTTAAAGAAAATTACATAAAACCGCACCAAAAACTCGACTTTCCCCATTCCCTGTCGCAACAAAATTATTTAATCCGTTTTACGTCACCAGCGATTTCAGCAAAAAACCTTTTTTTCCATGCGGATTTACACATACAAACTTCTTTTTTTTTTCAATTTGTTTTGTTTTTATTCTTTCAGTTGATGCATTTCTACGCTTTTGACGAGTTCCACAGATGGTGGCTCGATCGTGCGCGTGTTCCTCCGCCTTTAAAAGGCAATCATTAAATAATAGAATCCGGCTGAAAAATAACAGCTTTCAGACATGAAAAAGGATGCGCCCAGTAATTACGACATGTGCTCGATCCATACATTTGTTCTTCAATTGAGAAAACTGAAGAGATGGAAAAAAAATCTCTTAATTGCTCTCACGGTCCAATTCATTTACGCAAAACGATTTAAATTGATTCTCTTCGTGACGAAACAGTTTTTTTCTCTCTCATTATATTCTGCATCAACTGAAATTTATATAATTCTTAGTAATAACCAACGAGAAATTATGTTCTGAAAATTTGAATTTAAACAAGAAAAAGCAAATGTTTTGTATTGATTTTGACGTCGTGTAATTCCCCGCAAATGTTGATTGCAACAGAAAAATAGAAAACGTTCATTATCTGCTGTGTGTTTGATTTCAAACAAATGTAATATTTGGGATAGTGGTTCAATGTCGGCGACGAATGATGATTAGGTCAGTATTTACGTCGTGTGAGTAATAATTCAAATGCTATTATCACCTGAAACGAGAATTGTTTCAAATCGGTTTCGTTTATTCAAATTCATCCTTCGAATGTGGCCTAGAAATTTACGCGTTTTCACATTTTACTATATTTTACACAAAAAGTTTATTAAACAAGCACAGATAAAGTCATTTCTGTTCATAAAATATAAACTATTTCTAATTTTAATATATTGTTCTCACGAGTCGTGTAAAACTTTCAAACCGGACTAAACGAGGAACTAAATACAACAAAATGATTCAAATTTAGTTTGAAATTTGGAAATCCGGACTAATATGAAACCGGACTGATGATACTTACAGACAATAAGTAACATCATAAAACTTTTTTTACCTATTACCTCAAAATATATTCATTACATTATGGGATAGGGCAGTAGTTATTAGCCAAAGAGCCAAATCTGCTTCTTTAGTAAAGTTTTATTACACTAAATAAGTAGTACACTAAATAAAACTAAATTTCATACTTAATAAAGTGGTCAGAGCCGCACTTAAGGAGCCGCATCAAAGAACCACATGCTGCTCTGGAGCCGCACTTTGCCGACCACTAGGGGATTAAAATTTCAATATTTTTTATGGTTACTTGCTGAAAGTCCTTATTAACCCCAATTATTCACTTTTACCTCATTTGTGGTAATTTACCCCAGTTCGTCTAGACATATTGAAATTTTTGTAATAAAATTTGTTGAAACATAAAATTTTCAGTTGATATTTACAGATAAAAACTATCGTCAAACTATTTTACTTGATACGTCCAAACATATCAATTTACATACACTACATTACGAGAAGAGTGTAAATTATAATATTTTTCATATAATTTTACTTGTAGACTGTTCTTATTACCGTCAGGAATTCATTTTTAGTCCATTTTGGAGTAAAATACTGAATAATAAGATCACATTGTTATCAAATTTGCTGAAACACACAATGCAACGACCTGTGTAATATAATTTTGATGACAAATGCTTCTGAAAACAATGTAAAACATCGCCACTAGAAATTGACTCATCGTGTGGTTTGCAACATTGGTTATAAAAGGTATCCAGACATTTGTTGGAAATGCATGAATATTATAGAAAATTATATCTAAACTCATTATGAAGTTGCCAAAATATAATTTAATTATTTTTACAAAACATATTTGTAATTGTATTCAACTATTTTAATTCAGACTATATTACATTTTTTAATAGAATTTTAATGATAACGAATTGCTCTGATAATCTAAAATTTGAATTATACTAGTAATAATTTAGTAAAACAAATTACTTTCTACAACTATAATTTCATTAATTTTTTTATAGTTTGATGATAAATTCTTAATATTAATATCATGAATATTATTTATAAGTACAACAATACCTCGTATAGTGCGGCTTCAATCAGTTCAGATTCACTATAGTCCGGTTTGCAAATTTCAATTCAGAAAATAATATAGTTCTTTTTTCTTTTATGTAGTTAAGTTTCTTGATTAGTCCGGTTTCAATAAATAACCGGACTAATCAAGAATTGTAAACATTAAAATATTGTATTTCAACTAATCAAGTGAAAATATAATTTCATTTTGTTGTTTTCGAAAAATTGAATATTTTTTTTACACAAATATTATTTTTCAATGTAAATACATATGTAAATAAAATTTGTGAAATAAAAACAAATGTATTACAAAAAGGTAGACTTTCCTTTAATTGTAAATAAGTTGTTAAAAGTTTGGAACTTTTTTAAAGTATTAATGAAATAAAGTGACAATATTGAAGGTCAATGTAAATGTTGAGTGTGTAGAATCAGCATTTCGTGGTCGTTTACATTAATGCCGTTTTAATATTTATCAGAGTTGTATAAGATGTAGGCTGTTGGTCTTGCGTGAAAAGAGAGAAGAAGCCATTTATATTTCGCACATCCCAAGTCCTTGCGGTCCTTCCACACATATGCTAGCAAAAAGATACATAAATAATCTCAGCGCAAAAGTATATTTACATGGCATTACAATTACGCTGTGCGTGAATATACTGTGTAAAAGAGCAATACCATAGAAATGCGAAAAGCGTTTCAATGTCTTCTCGGATAATATAAATAAATCGGAAGTGAATTATGGTAATTCGTGATCAACCTCTGCGTCGAAAAAAAAAAAACGATTCACGAGCAAAAGACAAGCGAAATAAAGGTAAGAAAACCGCAAGAATCGGTTATTATTAATAGTATTTTCCGTTTTCTTATTATATTCAAATTTCTCTTTATATGATATCGTTTATGAAAGTCGACTCGAATGCGAAATGAGTTTATGAGTGAGTGAGGCTTCATTGTTGTTTCGCCATTTCGTTGTTCCCGAAAAGCGAGAGTAGGAATTTCAATGTCGATTTTGGTCAAGACCAAAGCCCCAGCACAGCACAGCAAGATCACCGTAAAAGAGATGCGTATATGGCGAAGGTCAATCAATGAAATCCCAAAGAGAATACTTATATATTTTATTTTTATTTTTTCTTCTCGTCTTCAGATGAATACGTCTCCGGTTTAAAGGAGGAGATTCGAACGATGAGTCAGGTTGCGTTCCGAGTAAAATGAAGCGTTGTCCTCAGAAGAAAAGAAGCACAGAGGCAACAAACTTACAAAATAAGAATCAAAAGAACCATTTTCGCATCACAATCGTACGTTGGCGTTTTCCCAAATATATTCAATAAGACTGCATTCTTTTCATTTTATTTGATGTTATTATTTACATTTGTATTATTTGTATGCAATTCGAGTAATGCGATCGCCGCTTTTGATGTGTCGTACGATTTTCGATTTGCTTATTTCTTCTAGGTTTGCCCCAATACTATTTTTTTTTCTTTTCCATTAATCATTCGGTTAATGTATTCATGGGATCCACTACATTCGGTGTTTTTCTTTCTTTCCCCGGACAATTTAAAACGTTTTCGTACGTGAATTTATTTCAATTACAACTACATATTATTCACACGGGTTTCCAAATAGTCGAAGAAGAATTGTTTGGAAGAAGCTCCAATGGCCTTGCGTATTTCGAGAAAATGTCTAATGGAATTTTTCTAGTTTCTGTACTCTTTGTATCATAATAAACAAATACATCCAACCAGACTTATTATTCTTGTTAAATCAGATACTTGTTTGCTAATTGCTTAGACTAAACCGGTATTCATCAAAAATAAAACTGTTATCCATGAACAAAATACTTTTACAACTCTGTTGCTAATGCGCAATCATCATCAATCTAGAATTTATATATTCAACTTTTTTTTATATTCAATTTTTTTTGCATCCTAATTATATTCTAGAATAAAATTAACTTTGAAAATGGAATGTCTTTATGTTTCTTTTTTTGTATCACTCGAACACTAAGAAACGTAGAATTTATATTGAAGATGGATTTTAAAGAAAAATCAATGGATAATCGATGACTCACAAGATGATGTTCGTGACGTTAGCGGTTTTCACGTTATAGCTGTCAAAGTATAAGAAACATACTTCAAAATCTATCTTCACTTTTTATTTAATTACACACTAACCGAGCATGATAAATAGAAATATCTATACTCTAATTAAAGTTAAAACTATAGATTTTTTTAATGATTTAATTCCATATTTGTAACTAGTGCTATATTTCTATAATAAGCTGTCAAAGTTACAAATAAAAAATCTACATCTTCACTTTTTATCATTCTACTCAATAATCACACGTGCTAATTACTGTTATAATTACTCTAATTACATTTAATAGACTAGACTATATACTATACACATCCTGATGGATTTGTATCTATCAGTATTTTCTTCATAATGACTCAAATTTCTACTCAAATTAATGTTATACGTGTGCAAAAATATCAAATCTAAACAATTATTTTAGTCAATCACTCAAAAACTAATAAAAATTTAAAATATACTACAATTGAATGTTAATAATTCATTAAAAATGAGTAATTTTTTATGCTAATCGTTGTTCTTATTCAAATAAATGCATTAATTTATTTATATTAAAATTGCATTATAAAATAAAGTAAAGAACAATAAAAAAAAATCAATTTAAGTGAATGTTGTTAGTAGTAAAAATGTGGATTCATACAGTAACCACAATTGTATATGACCTAATACGTAAATCCAGTTTACCAAGTTCTTCCTGTCTCATTTCCTAAATACTGTTATCACTGTATATACTTTTTTTAAAATAAAAAGGTAAACATAATTTTCCACAAAATGTTATTTCTTGAAATTAAATATATTTACATTACAGTGTAAGGCA